TGAACTGATAAGAGCTAGGAAATTAGGCACTTCCCAGGAAAAAGCACAGGAACAATGCAAAGTAATAGCAGGACTAATGAACTAATGTTTATTTATTTTAACTTGGCAAACATACAGGAGGAGAAAAAAACCATGATCTTTCAGTCGAATATAAGCTGAAGTTGGTGTGGCTAGTGAGACATCCACACTTCAGAAGGCTATTGTGTCCCAAGACAATAGTGAGTTGATGGACGTTTACACCTGCTCAGAGGGGATACAGCCCCTTATGGAAGTTAAGGAGTGCCAAAAAGCCAAGTGCCAGATAGGATGGGAATAACAAACCCCCTTTTCTACTGAGTCAGGAGGTGGAAGAGTTAAGAATAGAAATTGAGCAACTGAAGGAGCTACCCATGTTGCTAGGAAGAGATGACAGCAGCCATAGGAGAGAAGGACTCAGCCCTGGGCCCTCAACTTTAGTTTTATTATCTCCCCAGTGAAGGGAGAAGAGACAGAAACTCCAGGAAACAAGGTTAGATGAAACTGAGAGCTTTTTTTTTTGATGGAGACCTGGACAAGTTCCCTTTTTCCCCTTCAAAAGATTAGCAGTTTTCATGGTCAAGAGGGAACCAGATTTCCTTGATGAGCGAGATAAAGTGCAACATGTGGCTGACACTGCTGGAATGAGCAGCTTTGAGCTGAGTGCTCATCTTAAATGATATGGGGACTCCAGAACTGGACAATTTGGATATTTTGGGATCACTTCTAAGATCCTTTCTGCCAGGATAAGGCTCGGGCTAAACTGATGAACCTAAAGGAGGAATCCTTATTAGTTTTGGAATATTCCCTTGAGTTCAGAAAATTAGCTACTTACATCCCAGATAAAATAGTGAAGAGTAGAGACATCACACTGGCAATGAAGATCCGCATACTTAAAGCAATGGTATTCTCCATAGTAACCTATGGATGTGAGAGCTGGACCATAAGGAAGGCTGAGTGAAGAAAGAGAAATGCTTTTGAACTATGGTGTTGGAGGAAAATTCTGAGAGTGCCTTGGACCGCGAGAAGATCCAACCAGTCCATACTTCAGGAAATAAAGCCTGACTGCTCATTGGAGGGAAGAATATTAGAGGCAAAGATGAAATATTTCCGCCATATAATGAGAAGTCAGAAATCTTAGAGAAGATAATGATGCTGGGGGAAATGGAAGGAAAGAGGAAGAGGTGCCGACCAAGGGCAAGATGGATGGATGGTATCCTTGAAGTGCCTGGCTTGACTCTGAAGGAGCTGGGGGTGGTGACGGCCGACAGGGAGCTCTGGCGTGGGATGGTCCATGGCATCACGAAGAGTCAGAAGTGACTGAACGAATAAACAACAACATCCCAGATTGGAAAGAGGCCTATAAAATTCAAGCTTTTTGGGAATGGGTTGAAGAAAGATTTGTTGGGATGAGTGTTGTCCTGGGACAACCCAGATATCCTGATGAGGTGGGCAACCCTCGCTAGTCAGGGAGAAATTGTGAAAGAAAGAAGGAGAAGCAAGGGTTGCCAGAAGCAAGGTTTGCCAGCCAAATCTGCAGAAAAGAAAGGCAGAAAACCTCCCAAGAGAAGAACTGACATCAACCTGATTGTAATGGCCAGCTTCAATAGTTGCTAGAAGGGTTAGCAAAGGAGATGGATGTCTGTAGCTCCCAGCAGTCTCCCATGCCTTTCTTTGCCACTGCTGAAGATGAGCCCCCAGCAAAAGCAAAAATCCACAGCAGTCTCTACAAGCAGAAGCAAGCACGTCTGAGTAAGCTACAAAAGGGTTAAGCTTGGTCTTCAGAGCATCACTTACAGAGGACAGGGGTCCAGAGGTCAAGTAGTTTATCCAAAAATGCTAGTTAATCAAGCAGCAGCTGATGTCATTCAGTGCTGTGATTCTCTTACTGCAGACAATGTCATTATCTGGCTTGAGTTCAACACCCATTTGGTTCTTGATTTAGGACCTGACTTCGTTGCTTCCTGGCTTGATACCAAAACACTTCTGACTTCAACCTGTGGAATTTTGAATCTTAGCATTTGTGTCTTTCTTTCTTTGCACTTTGTGTTTCTGACTTTTGACCAGACTTCTGGATATTCAGCTGGACTCTTCTACCCAGTGTCACTAACACTGGACTGTTGATATTGACTAGCTTCCTCGCTTCTGGTGTTTGTTTGGACTTAGGTCCTAATCAGAGGCTGTGTTGGAAAAAGGACGCCAATGAAAAAAAGAGTGGCATTGGAAGCCCAGGGAGCAGACGAAAAGTCTCAAACAGCAAAGAGGTGGAGAACAAACTAAAAACGGACAAGTCAAGAGAGAGGAAAACCAAGGTGCCAGCCCTAGCTGTGAAGTCTCACCGAGAGAAAGTACCACATCAGGCATCCCAAACAGCCAAGGCATCCGACAATGAGGACCTGTTGGGAAATGAGAATCTCCACCAGCTCATAGAAAAAGTGTGGGTGACTGAGAAGATCCCAGCAGATTTCAATGATGCCACCATCATTACCCTCTTCAAAAAAGGGGAAAGAACAGACTATCGAGGTATCTTCCTTCTAACCTCCGCTGGGAAAATCCTCGCAAGAATCTTTGCAAACCGCCTTCTACCCCTCTCAGAAGACACTCTCCCAGAATCCCTGAATGGCTTCCATCCCTCCAGAGGAACAGGGGACACGATTTTCACTGCACGACAGCTCCAAGAAAAACGCAAAGAACAAAATCAAGCTCTGTACATGGCATTCATTGACCTGGCAAAGGCATTCGACACAGTGAATCGCAGCGCTCTCTGGACCATCCTCCAAAAAATTGGGTGCCCTGACAAATTTGTGAACTTCCCGCGGCTCCTCCATGATGACAACAGTCTTGGACAGCAATGGCTCCCAGAGTGATCCATTTAAAGTGGATGTGTTATTGCCCCAACTTTATTCTCCATCTTCATCGCTATGATACTGCACCTTGTTGATGGGAAGCCTCCCACCAGAGTGGAAATCATCTATCGGACAGATGGCAAGCTATTTAACCTCAGCAAAATGAAAACCCAAAACCAAGGTTACAACATCTGTTATAGAACTCCAGTATGCTGATCACAACGTTGTCTGTGTGCATTCAGAAGACCTACAAGTCACTCTAAACACCTTCGCAGAAGCAGACAAGATGCTCAGCCTGTCATTAAACATCGAGAAAACCAAAGTGCTCTTCCAGCAGTCACCAGCCAATCCCTCTCCAATGCCAGATATACAACTTAATGGCATAACATTAGAAAATGTTGACCATTTCCGCTACCTTGGCAGCCACCTCTCCACAAAAGTCAACATTGACACTGAAATTCAACACCGCCTGAGCTCTGCGAGTGCAACATTTTTCTGAATGAAGCAGAGAGTGTTTGAGGACCAGGACATCCGTAGGGATACCAAGATGCTTGTTTATAAAGCTATTGCCCTCCCAACCCTGCTATACGCCTGCGAGACATGGACAGTCTACAGACGTCACATGCAACTCCTAGAACGATTCCATCAGCGCTGCCTCCAGAAAATCCTGCAAATCTCTTGGGAAGACAAGCAGACAAATGTCAGCATGCTGGAAGAAGCAAAGACCACCAGCACTGAAGCGATGGTTCTCCACCATCAATTCCACTGGACCGGCCACGTTGTCCGGATGCCCGACCACCATCTCCCAAAGCAGTTGCTCTATTCTGAACTCAAGAATGGAAAACAGAATGTTAGTAGGCAGGAAAAGAGATTTAAAGACAGGCTCAAAGCCAACCTTACAAACTCTGGCATAGATACTGAGAACTGGGAAGCCCTGGCCCTTGAGCACTCCAGTTGGAGGTAAGCTGTGACCAGCAGTGCTGTAGAATTTGAAGAGGCACGAATGGAGGGCGAAAGAGAGAAACGTGCCAAGAGGAAGGCATGTCAAGCCAACCTCGACTGGGACTGCCTTCCACCCGGAAACAGATGCCCTCGCTGTAGGAGAAGATGCAGATCAAGAATAGGGCTCCATAGTCACCTATGGACCCATCACCAGGACACTACACTTGGAGGACCATCATCCTCGACTACGAGGGATCGCCTAAGTCAGTGGTTCTCAACCTGGGGTCCCCAGATGTTTTTGGCCTACAACTCCCCGAAATCCCAGCCAGTTTACCAGCTGTTAGGATTTCTGGGCCTAAGTAAAGTAAGTACAGGGAGCATATAATTTCCCTGTTGCAACAGCTCCACAAAATTCATAATTTTGACCCATAAAGCCCTATATGGTTTGGGACAAGGTTATCTGATGGGCTGTCTCTCTCTGTATGAACCTGCTAAAACTCTACAAGCTTCTGGAGAGGGCCTTTTCTCTGTCCCACCATAATGGCTGCTCCTAGACTCTAGAACTTCCTTCCTAGAGAGATCAGGATGGCCCCATCCCTGCTTGCCTTTTGCAACCAGGTAAAATGTACCTCTCCCTTCAAGCATTTAGGAAATGACGATGGTCAGACTGCTTTGAATGGTGTAAGTGGGGCTATGTAAGGGGCCTATGTAGTTTGTCATTGTAAATGTAACTGTATTTTTATAGTATTTTTATAGTATTTTAATTTTTATGCATCACAAAGATTTAATTATGTTTTTAAATTTGTATACTCATATTTGCATGCATTTGCTTTGTTTCTTAATTTGCATTGTGTTATGTTTTGCTGTTACTGCCTTGAGTCCCTATATCAGGAGAAAAATGCGATAAAAATAGAGTAAATAAACAAACTGGCCAACCAGAATGTCTTACAATTATATGTTGTGTGTGTTTTGATTGTCTGCAGCTGATATTCAGCACCGAAATAGCCACACCTGCTGTGTTTTTCATTGCTGGTAACAAGAAAAAGCAAAGCAACTGTGGGCTCCAGAAATTAAAATATATTTTGCAATTAGATTCTTCTCCTTGTAGATGGGCCTCTTGTGCAGCAGGTTGCATGGGTACAGTGGTGGTAAAGAAAAATATGTGATTTACAAAAACAAGAGCATGCTTCAACTGACCTGTTTTTCATTTTCATCCTCCAGTTTCAGCCTGTCTTCTATGCAATTCCTGGCCTGAAGGAAAGCCTTCCTCTGTGCCCTTTCTGTCAAAATTCTCACAAAGACTCCATACAAATTTACACTGACAAAAAGGATAGCATTGGCCACAAGCTGTAAGAGAAGAAGAAGGGAACAAAAGAGATATATTATAACATAGGCATTTACAAACATTGTCATGAAGCAATAATTCTGTCTAAAATGAAGTGTATTGTCGAAGGTTTTCACAAGAGTTTTTTAATATTGGTAAATATTAAATATTAAATACCAATATTAAAAAACTCTAAAATTACAACAGCAAATCAACAGAGTAAACAATCGGGCACATCTAATCACCTCTCAACAAAAGATTCCCCCAGGCACTGCCAAGCCATCAAATGCTAATTAAGGTGGTCAGTTGAAACATTCACACCTAGCTCCAGCAGACAAGAGTCCTTTGCCCCACCCGGGTCATTCCACAGATATATAAACCCATTTTCCTACTTCCAACAGACCTCACTACCTCTGAGGATGCTTGCCATAGATGCAGGCAAAACGTCAGGAGAAAATGCCTCTAGAACATGGCCATATAGCCCGGAAAAACCTACAACAACCCAGTGATTCTGGCCATGAAAGCCTTCGACAATACATTAAGAGTTTTTTCTCCTGCTACTCCAATTCCTTTTAACTGGAGAGGATGGGTACTGAAACGGAGATCTTTTGTATCCAAAACATTTGTTCTGCCATTGAACTGTGTACTCTGTTGTTAGAACCACAGTACTCAAGAATATAGTTGTTTTTCCACATCCACAGATTTTGTATCCATGGATTCAGTATTTGAAAATATTTTTTCAAATAATCCAAAAATATTGAGAAAGGGGGGGGGGGGGTCCTGAAATCAAACATCAATGGATATCAAAGGGCTCACTACATTGGGGCTTACATTTAATTTGATGGAGTAACTGATGCAAAAACACACTCTCTTAAAGCAGTTTGATAAAAATTGTCAGTTATTAATTGGATAACTGAATCAATGGATGCAGCTTTTGCTGAAACATCACAGGCTGAGCATCTCTTATCTAGAACTCTGAAATTCGAAGTACTAAAAAATCCCAAACTGAAATAGTAAAACTTCAGCTTTCTGATGGTTCAGTACAGATTTTGCTTCACGCACAAAATGATTTAAAATATTGTATAAAATTACCGTCATGCTATGTGTAAAAAGTGTGTATGAAACATAAATTACTTTCATGTTTAGACCACTTCTCATAATAATCTGGGCTCAACTTGCATTGGTAACCATACATTTTCCCCACTTGTATTCAAATCAGTACAAAAGGGCATTACACCATATTATTATTATTATGATTATTATGATTATTATGATTATTATGATTATTATGATTATTATTATTATTTACAGTATTTATATTCTGCCCTTCTCACTTGCAGGGGACTCAGGGTGGATTACAATGTACATATACATGGCAAACATTCAATGCCATAGACACACAACATATATAGACAGACACACAGAGGCTATTTAACATTCCAGCTTTTTTCATGAGTGTATTCTGGCCACCAGGGGAGCTGTCACTTCACCGTCCATTTGTGACACTGATTAAGTACTTCCTCATTATTTGCATGCTTGTTGGAAATTTTTATGGCATTGTAAATTAGCCTCCCCACATAAGCGGTACCTAAATTTCCTACTTGACAGATGCAACTGTCTTTCGGGCTGCAAAGGTCAACAGCAAGCTACACAAATTGGTCAGAAGCTCACTCCAACCTGGGCTGGCTTTGAACTCATGACCTTTTGGTCAATAGTGATCTTAATGCAGCTGACTCTCAGCCAGCTGCGCCACAGTCCTAGTGTTCACTGAATCAGATTATTTTTGGGTCACACCGCCACACCAGCTGCAGGTTTATTTTTAAAACTTCCCTTGAATATCTGTTATCAACCAACAGTATCTTGTTCTCATGCCATTGTAATCATTCACTTGTACTTTGATTGGATGACCCGATTTGCAGTGGCAACTTCCACCATCAGCCCTTGAGCCCACCAGGTCATAAACCCACAAAGAAGCACCTCCTATGCACACATCCTTCCAAGCATTGCATTTCTTTTGTTATGTAGTTTATTCAATGTTCACAGGGACATCTCTTAGCTAAATATTACTTGCAATTAGTAACTACAGTTAAAGAGAAAGTAAGTTAGTCAAAAGTAATTCCCGATTTCCTTTACCAGCTAATGTTAATAGTGATGCTCAGAATGTTTCCTCAAATTAAAACATAGATCAAACTCATATCTTTTTAAATATTACTGTTCCCATGATGGTTAAACAGAGGAATGCTTTAGAGAGAAAGAGTGTGTGTCTGCATGGCAGAAAATATTTTCTTAAAAGATGCATCACATGTAAGCTGACATCAAAGGGAATATTTTTCCCAGTCCAAGTAGAAGTGTTGTGACAAAGAAAACATATTGAATCTCATATTTTAGTATTATTAAAATCCAAAGTGGATTATTCTGTGGAGGCTGGAAAGGGATTTTGCTTCGTGTGTGTGTGTGTGTGTATGCCCTTAAATAATGTTTTGCAGTGACTTTACCTCTCCTTGACTTTTTTCCAGTTATCACAATGATACTACTCCTTTATATGTGTTATCTGAGGAGAGAAGTATAAATTGCTTGCAGCTCAGTAGTAGCTAGGTCGCATAAATTCATCAGCCACTCTGATGCCTCTCCCTCGAGATGGGTAGTGATGTATATGACTTTGCCAGCTTCAGACAGGAAAGTAGGCTCCCATTCCACCATAAACACTGTGACTTGTGTGAAGAAAAATCTAAAAAAAACTCTAAAATTACAACAGCAAAACAGCAGAGAGGAAACAACCAGGTACATCTTAACACCTCTCAACAAAAGATTTTCCCAGGCTCAGCCAGGCCTTCAAATGCTAATGAAGGTGGTCAGTTGAAACATTCACACCTAGCTCCAGCAGGGAAGAGCTCTTTGCCCCACCCCAGCCATTCCACAGATATATAAACCCATTGTCCTAATTTCAACAGACCTCACTACCTCTGAGGATGCTTGCCATAGATTCAGGCGAAACGTCAGGAGAAATGCCTCTAGAACATGGCCCTATAGCCCGAAAAAACCCACAAGAACCTAGTGATTCCAGCCATGAAAGCCTTCGACAATAACCCCCAAGTGCCTACCACCATACAGGTGAGAGTTAGACAGGTTTAGAATCAAGCATCCAATGAGATGCTTGAGCCTCGAATAACACAGACCTCGATGGCTCTGAACAAACGTCTGAGGATGCTTGTCGTAGATGCAGGCAAAACGTCAGGAGAGAATGCTTCTAGGACATGGCCATATAGCCTGAAAAACTTACAACAACCCAGTGATTCCGTACATGAAAGTCTTTGACAATACAATGTTTTAGTAATTTAATGCCTTAATGAATTGTTTTAATTGTTATTATTATTTATTACTGTTGTTGGCATTGAATGAATGCCCTGTTGTGAAACCGCCCTGAGTCCCCCTCCAGGGATGAGAAGGACAGAATACAAATATGAGAAATAATTGGTTTTGGTCTCTAAAAAAATATCCACTTTGAATTTTAATTTGTGTGTTAAGACACAAACAGTTTTAGTTTTTGTTTCTGCCTGTTTCATCATTGCAAACCTTGACAAAATAGCTTGCCATGGACTTTCATCATCCAACGCAGGACCTTTCAGAAAGCTGATACTGTTGTAATTGTTCAGTTCTGACAACAAATGCCACGTGTAGGTTGTTTCTGCTGTTTGTTAACAAATAAAGTACTATGCATGACAGTGAGATTTTTCTTTGAAACAGTTAGAATCCTGACACATACAACAAATGCATGATAAAAGAAATTGTTAACAAAAATTATTTAGTTGAGTGATAGATTTGAGGGAAGAATAACACAGAATAACATACTATCCTGCATACCAGACAGATGGACTGTTTAGAAACTGTTTAGAAAAGACCTGAAGATGCTTTTGCAATGTATTGACATGAAATCTGTTTCATGGAATATCATGCTATGGGACCATGAGTCAGCTCCCGTTGCCATGTAGGAACTTCTTACAGCTTCGGCAACTACAAAGAATGGATGGAACACTATCAACATGAAGGAATAAGATGTCTACAGGTGCTATTTATGAAGTAGGTTGAGTTGCCAGGAGAACTGTCCAGACAACATGTGATAATTCTTTAGAAGCAGGTATAATAGTGGAACTATAGTAACAGAATTGCAACCAGTGTTATTGGGTATGGTTTTTCCTGACATGTCTATGAATAAACTGCAATTTTTTCTTGTTCCCTGATTTCTTTTTGATCCCCACAAGCTTTGGCATTGCTTTGACCCAAAGAGTTCAACATCCATGCTGATGTGCTGATATTGTATGTGCTTTCCTGGGGGGAGGGGAAATGTCCAGATGCCCTGCTGGACTTTCTAGTAGGGCAGCGGGTCACAAAAGAAAACCCCTTAAAAATATTTTTAATAGTAAAATAACTCACCCGGCCTCCATTTCCACTTCTCTGGACCTCTTTTAGGTTGTACCAAAGATGGCCTGGAGAAGGGGGGGAGCGATTTTCCTCCTCTACTGCCTTCTCCAAGTGCGTAATTGGTATGGTTTTTGGAGGGGTTGGGTCCTGTCTTGAGTTTCTTGGGCTCCAGGAGCCCAAGGAACTCAAGCCAGATTCTGTAAATGGGCACCAGAAGTCACACAGCATGATCCCTGGCTCCATCTACACAGCCCCCACAGCTGGAAAGTTGCAGGTCTTTCAAGAAGACCCGCTTCTTTCCCATTAACAAAAACTCTTGGCACAAAGTAGAGTTTTCCTGCTTTGTATTGAATGCACTCGCTTTTCTGTGGGATGTCATCTGGTCGCCCCACTTCAAAATGCTTTTAAAGGGCTATCTGGATGTGCCCTAGTATATACTTAAACTATGAACCTGAGCTTTCAAGGGAAATGCCATCAAAATTATTGGTGACCCACATTACTAGTACTAGAGAACCTCAAAGAATTTCAGCGTATGGAATGGCCACTGCCAAACCTCTAAGAAGATGTAGTTTTTATATTATATGATAAATGTATGGTTTAGTAT